AATAAAAACAAAACAAGTGATGAGTCAGCATAAGATTGCCATTAAAAATATATTGCTAAGTAAGTATAATCTACAATTTAAAAAAGTCTAAAAGTTATAATTCCATGAAATAAAGGCCATTCTAACAGAAAAATGGTCAGAAAAAAAGAACGATTTTTAAAAGTTGAATTAATTTAACCTAATGAAAAAGTATACTTTGCAGTCCCTTGGTTTTTTTTTTTCATTTCACTGCACCACTGATCATGGACCGGCCTCTGCCTGTAACTAGATCCGACTTGAAAGATATCAAGGAGAAGATTCAGTCTATTGTAAAATAATTCTGTCCAATCAGATTCTATGGTTTTTGCTCATTCAGCTTCTAGCAACCTCTGTACTGATTCTCATAGCCTGTAAACTAAATTTCAAGTGCTGAATTGAAACCTGGTGTATGTAATTATGCCCTCAATGGAGGAAAACAACAACTCTTCACCTGTCCTCTGTGTAACTACACACGTGATCTTTAAACAGTGTAAAAACTCGCCTCAGTCTTGGCTCCTTTAGTCCTGGTTTCTCCCAGGTCCAGTTTTCCATTCGCCCTTCCTCTTGGCACACAGGATGCGCGTGCAGTGAGGAAAGCATTCCAACTTTGGATGTACAGACGTCTTGTGCCAACAGTGCTGTGATCAGTGCTATGCCTACCACCCAGTGAGAGAAGGAGGAGGAGCACTCCAGCTTGTGTGAAGCCTTGGAAGAGTTGTGAGAGCTGATGGCATTCCTCAGGGTACACCGGACACCAGTGATGGCAGTGGATTGTGCAGGCTCTGGGGGCACATCAGACTGCCCAGATCCCCAGTTTCTCACTTCACATGATGCGGACTTCACCACTCTGACGTGTTTCCAGAGCTGTAAAATGTGTATACTAACATACTGCAATTGAGCTGTTCTGAGAAATAACAATTAAATGGGTGAAGCTTCAAGGACAGTACCAAGCACGTACAGTTGTCCCCAGAGTCCTTGTGGGAATTGCTTCCAGGATGCCCTGTGGATACCAAACCCCACAGATGCTCAAGTCCCTTATATAAAATGCTCAAGGGCTTCCCTGGTGGCACAGCGGTTAAGAATCCGCCTGCCAATGCGGACACGGGTTTGAGCCCTGGTCCGGGAAGATCCTACATGCTGCGGAGGAACTAAGCCCATGCACCACAACTACTGAAGCCCATGCACCTAGAGCCCGTGCTCCACAGCAAGAGAAGCCACCGCAATGAGAAGCCCGCACACCTCAACGAAGAGTAGCCCCCGCTCGCTGCAACTAGAGAAAGCCTGCGCACAGCAACGAATACCCAATGCAGCCAAAAAATAAATAAATTTATTTTAAAAAATAAAATAAAATGCTCAAGTCCCTAATATATTTGTATATACCCTAGGCACATCCTCTTGTATACTTTAAATCATCTCTAGATTACTTATAATAACTAATATGATGTAAATGCTATGAAAATATTTGAAATTAAAGTTTTGCTTTTTTGGTACTTTCTGCAATATTTTTCCCAAATATTTTTGTTCTGAGATCGGTTGACTCCAAGGATGCAGAACCCATGGATACAGAGGGCCCACTGTAATAGTAGTTCAGGAAATATGTGGCATTAGCTCTCAAGACACAGAAAATAGCATACAGGCCTTCCACTTTGTTTTATTTCCCCATTGCCCAATACAATAATTTTAACACAGTAGGTGTTTAAGAAATAGCAGTCGGCCACTTTGGTATTAGACTATTGGTATTGTATGTCTTTGTGTCTATCAAACTATCAGACTTTCAGGTTGGGCCGATATCTTGCTTCCAAATAGTGCTTCAGTTGTCACCAAAGCAGAACTGTAAAATCACAGTACTATCATGCCTGTGACTGTGAACACAGACATCTCAATCTGAACTCATCTTGAAGCTGGCTACAGCATCACGATGGCAAGGTTTGATAGGCTGTAGAAAGAGACCAGCAGTGTGTGAGCTGCAGGGGAACTAAGACTGTTAATTCAAGGCTGGCAATAACTGGTTCTATAGAAGCCCCCACATTTCCTAAATTCTGCTCTTATCAAAAACTGAAAAATTTTAACCAAAAATACCTGGATATTCAGAGAAGACATCATTACAAATGCAAATAAACAGGGTTCAGTGTACTTCTCCTTTGAGAACCAGCACACAGACAGCTGGCACAGCCCTCATCCTCAGGAACTTCAACCTCGTGTGCAGTACCTCGTGTGTACTTGCAGTTTGCTTAAACACCTGAAAATTGTGTCCCTGAGGTTTGCTTTCCTAGTTTCATGTCTTTTGGTGACACAGTTGTTATACCGCCAGGGTAACAGAGACCATTTCCACTTTCTCCTACCTGGACTGCATTGATGCCCATGTAGGGGTATTTGCACTGAGGATGTGTAATGTCCTCAGCTATTTTAATTAAAGATGGTGCACGTGTGAATGCACGTGTGTGTGCCCACACGTGAACCACCGTGGTGGTGCTCACGGCACCAGAGTGGTGCTGTAAACAAGGCAGGGCACAACCTTGCCACGAAAAGTACCATCTGATTCTCATATGCAAGCCTTGGAAAAAAAAGTTCATACTCACATATAACATAAGTCAAAGTTTTCATATCACCTACGTTCAAGTAAAAGAGCCTAAATAAGAAAGGCAACAAAACAAATAACTTTCTCTTTCAGAAAAATAAGTGCAACTCAAAGTAGGTGTTGCTTTTGCCTAAGGCAAATACAAACATTGTTGCTTTCTTAGATGTGTGACTTCCAACAAGGTAACTGTGTCAGAAAAAATGCAAAGATTTGTCTCACAGGATTATTATAAGGGCTGCATGAGCCATTACACGCACAGTGCTTAGCAGAGCACTTGGCAGATAGTAGACATTCAATTAAAAGGAACTGCTGTTATTATTATTTATCTCCAGCACTGCCCCCACCCCAGGATGTTTGCATTTTAAAATTGGGTCATTGGATACTTAATACTGTGACACAATGGAATGAATCCTTAGTGATATAATTTTTAATACTATGATATGGAATTAAAGTAGATAAATTTGTGTGTGATATATTTTAGGTACAAATGAGTAAAAATCAGGGTGACTTCTGTGGTAGGATGCATAACTGTGTGTGTGTGTGTGTGTGTGTGTGTGTGTGTTTAGGGGGGAGTACACAACTCCCTATAAATTATACTGTAGATGTCCACCCTAAAGTGAAAGATAATCTAGCAAATTCTCTGCCTCTACTCATCTTGACCCTTCTTAGAATGTCTCCTTTAACAGTCAAAATTGTATGTTTTTCTCACACCCTCTCTTCCACATTTCCCCCTCTTCTCTGATCCCCGTGGTGAGCAAAGAGCACAGGACACCTCATATACCCGTTGGCCCATTGTCTTATGTGTCTGTCTATAACTGTGTCAATCATATTCCAAATTCCAAAAGGTCACCTCTATTATATCTGTTCACCCAAAGCATAGTTCGGGGCTGAAAACAGGTAATATTTGTTAACAGTATTCCTATGGAAAAAAGTCAGTTGCTTCAAAAAAATAATCATTTCCCAAAAAACCTGAGAGGAGCAAGCAAGTGAACTCCTGAAAACAAGATCAGTAAATCGGAGAGAATTTTGCAGGTGACAGTTTTAGTTTCCTGGGAAAGTAAGTTTCTCAATTTGCTCATCCACCATCTTCTTTCTGTGACATAATGAAGAAAAAGAAAAGGGTTAAAGCAAACATGAGAGACTGAATCCATAAGCATGCCGATTTTTAGAGGGGAGAAGGCAGAGAGATACTGCTGTCCCAAGAGACTTGGGGGACGTCTGTGAGTAGTGCATTAGGCTCTGGAGAAGAGGCTGGCCTGCAAGGACCTCCAGGAACAGACTCAGAGCCCTTTAGTAAGTATTCCAGGGAGTCAGGCTTTCCTGGAAAAAACAAACTAGTGTGAGAAGTCATTACTGTGCAATTTCAGTCTCAAAAATAGCCAAGTATTGTTAAGGCTGCTGTGTGCATGAGAGAAAAAGAAAGCTCTTGTTAATATCTGCCTCAGCTTCCACATTAAAAGAGGAGCTACACTGAAAATCTTGCCTGGCAAATACTGCAAAGGTCGTCTGGTTTGTATTATTTGGAATCACTTTTTGGTCCTTAGAATGACGAAGTTTTGAGGGGACTGTGTCCCTTTTTGTCAAATCGGTCTTGCAATAAAGGACAGCCAGGCGATGGCTCAGCCTCTTTCACTCAGGACTAGAGCTGTGCCTGGCTGTCTATTTCAGCTCTTTATTTGCTTAATTGCCCTGGGAGGCTGGCAGGAACGGTCCCTGCAGCCGTGGCTCTGCTGACTGCAGAGACCCTACCTGGCACTCCAAGTTGATGCGTCAGCATTTTAGGTAGAAATGAATGAAAAATCAATCAGGATGACTGCACTGGTAGCATGCACAACTCTAACCTAGTTTGTCTATAATTTTCAACTATTCACCATAGACCCAAGCAGTGTTTAAGATGGTGAGTCTGCAACAAATGTGCTGCTTCTGTTTAATCAGGCATTTTTTTGTGTGTCCCCTTTTCTACTTAGAACAAGCAAATCTAACCTGCTTAGGAAGCCATATGTAAAATGAATGGATTCAGTTCTGAATTAAACCTGATGATAAATATTCATATGTAGCTATATCAAACTGTTATTAACTTATACTTCAAATTCAGAGGTTTAAATATTTTTGAAAAGTCTGTTTATATCCTTGCCACGTCTCTTTGTAACTTGCTATGACTCTCTACATCGAAACTATACTGTTCTAAATAAATTTCTAGATTTACAATTCTGCAAAGATAGAGTTAAACACTGTTTGGACCCTGGCTACATAAGAGAAATTGGAATTGTTCAAAGCTGCAGTCTTCAGCTCCCAAAGACAGCTACAGTAACTTTCTGAGCACATCGGGTTAAATATTTTTACAGACCCATTCTATGATGATAAGGCAGTAATAAGTTGTGCAGTGCAACACTCCAAAGGGTTCCAAATCTCACAAGCCTCTTTGTATGTGATGCTTTCACAGTGAAGAAGATTCTTTGGGCTACAAAGATGAACAGTCTACTTCTTCTGGTGCTGATTTCAATCTGCTGGGCCGATCATCATTCAGACAACTATACTGTAGATCATGACAGAGATATTCACATCCAAGGTAAGAAAACACAGCTTCTCTTATGAAAGTCAAATCATTTCAAGTTACTTAGAGTTGAGATGCTTGGTTAGTGTTTCTTAATTTTAGTTCTGCTGCACTGACTTTTCCTTTCAGCGAATTGGTGAACATGCTCCCTGGCTTTTGAATGCTATTGCGTTACAGTAGAGTTAAGAATCGGGGGACAATTAAAGTGGATTGGCTTAAGAATATCCAACTGCAGGGAGTTGATGCAATTGTTCAAGGCTTTTCAGTTGCTCTCTTCTAAGTAGAATGGAGGGTAGGAAGTTTATTTAGAGGCAAGGCAAAAGGGGGGGGGGGGGAAATAGGAAGTAAAACTTAAGATGTAAGGTCATTTTGTTAGAAACATCATTAAGAAAAACATGAAAATGAAAGTCAGACAAGCTAAGGTTCAGGAAAAAGTAACTTACCCTATTAAAATCTCCTTCGGTAAAGCTTTAGTTTCCATAGACCAATGTATTGCCCTGCATATTTCTTTTCAGCTCAGCTGAATCCTAAGCCTGGGAGCTGTAGCAGGATTTGAGGCTGCAGTACAATGCAGCTATTTCCTCAGCCCCAGCTTCAGATGAGGGACATCCTGCGTTAAGAAAGCTAAGAGACTTAGCTTTCAATAAGACTTAGCTTTCAATGTTGCATTTCAATGCAATAAGAAAAATATAATTCTAAAGGAGCTGGAGCTTCTCTCTTTGCCCTTGTATGCTGAATAATTAAAATAAGAATTACAGGATTTAACAGTTTAAACATATGATGGTATGAATTTTAGATGAACTCAGTTTGGGGACCAGAGGCATTATAAGTTTGCTAAGAGACATAAAACATCAAGTTATAGCTTCAAGGTCAAAAGTGTAGTCTCAGAAAATCGCATCCACTGTTGAAAAGTATGACTTGTGAAGGTCAAATGATAGTGTAGGTCTGGCTGGAAGTATTTTCCTGCATGTATTACAACTACCCAGATAGAATTCTGAATTTGACAATGTCTAGCTATTTTAGGCATTTCTCTTTCAGTTCTCTTTGTTTCTAACAGCTTTACGATTTTCACTGTCGGACCATAAAAAGGAATTACATAATCATAAGTTTTACTATGCAAGCTGCTGACTCAGCTGTTTCCTTTACTATATATAGTAGAATCAAAGCTGTTTCCCAGAGACTTAAGATATTTACACACAGAGATTTCTGATGAGGGAGAACATCCTTTTAACATCAAGTCACAGAAGTTTTAAATCCAATGGAAGATTAACCTTTAGCAATGGTTTCAAGCCATTACTAGACTAGATACCTGTTATTGATGTATAAATCATTTAGTCTAATTTCATGCAGAGTATAAAAATATTATTTTAAAACTATATTAACATTTTAAAAGTTACTCCTGAAGGAAGCCTGTAAGTCAGACTCAAGTTTTCTCAGCAAGGAAAACTTCTGTTGCTCCAGTCTTTCCACTCCCATATACTCTGTTGAAATTTAGTGCAAAGGAATTGCTGACACAAGGTATCAGAATTATCCAGATTATTTGCCTACACTATCCAATTTTTTAAAAAATGACTTGCTAGTCCACTTCATTTTAATTGTAAATTCATGTTCTTAGAAAGTTGCTCTGAGCTTTCAAGTAATAAAACTACAAAAAAAAAAAAAAAAAAACCAACTACAAGGCCTACATTTTGCTTGTGGAAATTAACAGTGAAATGTGACTTGGGTCAATATTATGATGCTATGACGATAGTTGAAATTTTTTTAAAAATTGCTCCAAATACCTGTTCTCATTAGTTTTTATCCAACAAAAAGTTTTCTTTTTACTTTATTATAGCATTCAGATTGAACTTTCACGTTCTCAGCCCTTCAGAGAAATACTTCCAAATGGCCTGCCATAATTTCAGTTGCACATAGCACAGCAGATAATCATTAAAGCAGATAACCTTCATTACTTACATACTGAATTATTTTCTCATATTTAAAACTTTCATTTATCAAACACAGCCCTCCAAAAACAAAACAAAAACATGGCCCAGAAGGAATTTAAAGGAGCTGAAGGCTTCATAACATTTTATAAGAATTTTGCAATCAAATGATTAAATTAGTAATCTGAATCTCAAATTCCCAAATTGTACTGATAAGCAGTATGAGCTTCTCTCAGTGACAGAAAATTATTCAAAATTCGTGTTACTACAAAAACACCTTTTCTATCTCTCATTTGTAATTAATTTTTTATTTTTGTACCTCAAGTTTCCCAGGCTTAAATAATACCAGGGGAATAATGCACATAATCCTCAAATTCTCCTTGGCTGCCTTGATAAAGATGCTGAACACTTTGTTAGCACGTTCTTAACGCTTATGCATAAGAGCTACCTAATTAGTTTTTCTGAAGGCTTCCTCCTTATCTAGTTGTGGGAGATTCTATAGACATATAGGCAAAAAAAAATTTTTAATCTGGCTTAAAAAAAAAAAAAGTCAGAATACCAGGGGAAAAAATGGCAAGTATAGATTCCTGTGCAAAGTGTTTCTATTGAAAAGCTTTAGATAAAATTGCACTTGTACTAATTCACTTCCTTTAATTTTTTTATTGAATCAACTTGGTTATACAAGAAAGTAAACTACACTTGTCCATGGAGTCTGCTAAAAATTTGCAATCAAGATATCAGCTTCTGTATCATATACTGTTCGCAGTGTGGGGGATAGTAATTTCCTCAAATACTTCTACAGGAAGAGATAACTGCTGTTGACATTGTCTCTATAACAATCTCAACTAATGGATTATACTCCTCATTTCATGATGTGCCTAGTCAAACAACTTCTCAATCCTTTGAAACTTGAGTTCATTAGGAAGAATTTTATATGGAGTACTAAATCACACAAAAGCACAATTTTTAAAATATTTGGATCTGGTCTAAAAAAACTCTTTGTAGACTTTTAATTACCAGTAGAAGTTCACAGATGATGAACATACTTTTTAAAATACAACTTTTACGAAGACATTTATATGGACAGCAGAGAAATTTTATGACCATTTGCCTATTAACCAAAATAGCTGCGAAACAATTATAGTTATACTGAATACGTAACCGCCTGATCTTATCCATGTCAGCGATCCAGTGTTTCCTGCCTCTGGCATTCCAAGTGCAGGTCTTCTGATGACAAGTTCAGGAGTTTTTCCCCTAATGCCAGTTACTGGCTTTAGACCTTGGGCAGTTTACTTAATCTCTTCAAGTCTGTTATCTCATGTATAGAATTGGGTATAATCACTGTTATTCTATAAAGCTTTGTGAGAATTAAATTAGATAATATATGGAAAAGTGCTTAGTACCCAGAACACAATAAGCACCAGTAGATGATAGTTGTTATCGCCATGTTGATTATTTCTTTACTGTCACGGAAAACTGATTTTTAAATAGAAAAAGGAGCACAAATACTGGTGGGAAAAGGTCATGCTTTTCAAATTCATTTGCTAGCAGAACCATATCATTACCTTAGTTCTAATGAAGTAAACGTCTTATAAATTGCCTTCTTTGCCCTTCTTAATTCCAGTTTTAAATTTCTCCAATGGTATTAAACATTACCTGACCACTTTTACTTTCAGTGTAGAAAATAAAGCTTTCCAAACTTAAGTAATATTCCCCTTAATATACTTAGTAGGTGAACACAAATAAGCTACATTAAATTTTTAAAAAGAATAATAAGAGGAAATCTTAAGAGATGAAAACAGTTCCCTTCTTTATAATAAGTAAAACTTACGGTCACTTTTCTCAAAAGATAAAGCAATTAGATTTTTTTAAAGAAAGAGTTGTCAGAAGTTCATCTCTGTGGGTAGCAAAAATAATGGAGATCTAGAATCCCTCGCAGAAGGGACTCTCCACTCAATGTGGTTGGTTCCCCCTTCTTGTGCCCCAAACCCCTCTTCCATCCTAGCTTAGCATCAGACTGTCAGCTTTGTAACACTCCAGCTATACAGTAGTGCCTGGCACATAGTAGGTGCTTAATATATGTGCTGAATACATGAACGAGTGCAATGAGACACTTCTAAATTACCACTATCATAATGAGCACTTCTCAAGTTCTGTGGCATCCATGGCATTTAGCAACACATGACACATTGTGTGGGCCCAATGTACATTAATAGATCACTGCTTTCATTGTGTAATGTTGGCATAAAGTAAATCATAGTTTACAGAATTTAAGAACTTAAAAGGACTTTAATATAGATCATTGAGATCAACACGCCATTGTATAAATGAGGAAATCAAGACCCAGCACTTAAATGTTGCTTGGCCCAGGCTGCATGGCTGATGAGAAGTTTCTCTTGGCTAACCCCCTTCTTCAAATCTGGGATCATTTTTCACCTTCTTTTTTTTTTTTTTTTTTTTTTGCGGTACGCGGGCCTCTCACCGTTGTGGCCTCTCCCGTTGCGGAGCACAGGCTCCGGACGCGCAGGCTCAGCGGCCATGGCTCACGGGCCCAGCCGCTCCGCGGCATGTGGGCTCTTCCCGGACTGGGGCACGAACCCGCGTCCCCTGCATCGGCAGGCGGACTCTCAACCACTGCGCCACCAGCGAAGCCCTCACCTTCTTAATGAATGCACCCTGACTACTGTGCTCTTCCCCTCCTCTGGCATCCCGATCTACCTCTGATCTTCTTTTCCTTTTCTCTGTAGTCCTGGATATCTACTTTACTTATTTTTATGCAATTGTTTGTGTCCATCTCTGCCACAAGAACATATATCAGCTCCACAAGGGCAGGGATCTTTGTCTGATGTATCCCAGTCACCTAAACTAATACTGGGCACATAGTATAGGTAATCAATACATTTGTTAAATAAATTCAGGGCCAAAATCTAGGAACTTTTCCTAATCAAGTCCTAGTCAGTCTTTCCAAATCTCGGGAAACTTTACAGTTTGTATGATGAGAGGCAGCAGATAAGGAAGAGGATTCTGAATTTTGATAGCAATTTTTGTTTGGTCATTTTTTATTGCTCCCACACTGCACATAGCGTCTTA